ATTTCAAAGGCCATCATAATCCCGCAATAGTAAATTTCATTTTTCTCCAGGTGCACAGTCATAGAGTCGGTCGACCTCATCTCATACAAATAAGAAGCAAAAAATTATTAGAGAAACATGCATTTGAGTTAAAACTTTGTGTGACTAACATAGGCCAAATTCCTCATTTTAATTATTGTTTAATACTTAATTAAATTCCTATATATATCTTATAAATAGAAGATAACTTTAAAATCGCGGCCCAAATATCAGTGGTTTGAATATTCCATATCGAATTGTAGTATTGAATATGTAAAAGTGATGTATAATTCTTAATTTAGATCTACTATGACATAATCGTATTCATATCTTCGTGTAAACTATATGAGACTGATTCTTTGAATATTTTAGTTCGCATAACCGTCAAATTTAAACTTCTTCCTATCCTGACATGATTGGATCCAACAATCATTAGGAGTTTAATAATTTGGTTCATTTCACCTTTTTTAAATGTACTAATGAATTTGTAGGGAAATGACATGTCTTTATATACACTCTACACAATATATAATACTAAAATGAGAAAATTGTTGTCTCATTTCAAATTTCCTACAACAAGAGTGAAAGTAGAAATGATATTTTTGCTTCACAATTATTTTTCAGAAACTACAAACTTCCAAAACTCAGAAATTGTAGCTCAAACTAAAAAATCAGAGCATCGAAATCAAAGTTTCGCAAATTTTATTTCATATATCACTTATTTGAGAGATTTTTCTTTCTATAAACAAAGTAAATTGAAACAAGTTATAGCCAAATCAACAACTTTGGCTCGAAGACGATGACTCGCTTCTTCGGGCTTAATCAGATTATTTAAAACTATTATCCTACTAAAATTATTTTATTTTTATTTTTCCGCTGCATTGTTGTAATATTTTGACTAAAAAATGTTAGTAAGTTAAATGATATATTAATTAAAATAATATAATATTCACGCTCTTTCGACGCACTCAAATTATAATTCTCAAAGGATATGCGCTCTTACGCTCCCATTCTAGCTCCTGCTCCGTTAATTGTAAGCTAAATCCGTCGAGTCAATTATGTAGACAAAGAGACTACTATCAGAATTCGCCTTCCATCACATATTGCATTCCCTCGCAAGCACCCCCACGCTCAATTCTCACTTGGCCATTCCATATTAGTTTCATATCTGAGACACACCAGCGTCATAGGAGTGCGACCTTCTTCGCGTGATGAATACATGTTGTTGCAGTGCTTTTTAGGAGCTCGAAGGAGGATAGCGGAAAGTAGCAGATAGAGAAACAAATGTAGATAGTTTAGGCGAGGAAGATTATTATCCATATATAGCTGAGATTTTATATAATTTATAAATATATGAACAATATAATGACTTCATATATCCGGACAAAAGCGGACTAAAATGAATGACCATTAACCCTCAACCCACTTAATCGACCGGGCTAACGGGCCAAACATGGTCGATAACCTTTGATCTTTAAAATCCATATATTCTAAAAAAAATTGGTGTTTCAATTTTTATGATTGAGTCAAATCGATCAATAATTGTGGATTTTCGGAGAGTGATTGAAATTCAAAAGTCGGTCTTCAAGTTTCTTTCGTGACAAAAGTTTTTGCGTTTAATTATTTTTGGGTCGAAGGAAGAGAAAGCGGCATAGATGGAGAATGTGACTGTAGCTATTAATTATTGGGAGTTGCAGATGGAGAAGATAAACCATAAAAGGGGCTAAATTTAATTTGATAATGCTTATATACTATATATTACAAGGACATGTTTGATTTGAAAAATAATAGAGGGATTGATTTGAGAAAATGGATAATAGAGTGACAATTTATGCTATTAATTCCACATGGAAAGTCAAAGAGTATATTTGGTAGAGTAGAATTTAAACTTTTATAATGTTTGGATTCTCTTAACTTTGGTATGTGCATTAGTATCTAACACTTAACAACCCCCACTTATTATTCAACAAGCCTATACACTAAATCATAATAATTATACAATAAGCATTATTTTTTTCGTATTCTTCCATATTTGAGATTTTGAGACATAATCTTTTATTTATTCTCTTGATTTTTTTATATACCTTAAATTTCTACCAATTCTAAATGACATATATTTCCTTCCAACTCCAAATTTATATCCGATAATAAAAAATCCATAATTTTTTCTAAGATATAGGGAAAAAAATACAAAACAGTAAACTAAGACGACTTGATAAAAAATACATATTAACTAATTATCGCTAATGTTATAATAAAAAATACCATAAAGATTACTTTAAAATAATGAATTAGCTATTTTAGAAAACCTCAAATTATTTTAAAACATGAAAAAAATTGATCAACATAAAATAAAGTTCATCCGACCATCGGGTTAGGTAAATATTTTAAATATAATTATAAATTAACCAATGTAAAAGATAAAACAAAACTCATTCGGTCAAGGACCGAGTAAATGCTAGTTCCTTTATATATCCCTCTATAATATATAGTAGTATTTCAGGAGATTTTGAGCATTTCAAATTCCTTGCACTCTCCTTAACAACCTATTTGGATACAGTTCCGGAAGAAATGGAAATGGAAATGGAATTCCATTTTTTATTTTTATAGAATGCCAATTCAATTCTAGTGTTTGGTATAATTCCTAGTTCCTACAACCATGGAAATGAATTGCACTTTTAACCATAATAAATAATGTAATATGTTTATTTATTTATTTTTGGAAATGAAATATGAATGAGAGCGAAAGAGAATAAAATGATAGTGGGTGAATAAAATAATAAAAAGTATTGATGGGTCTCACTAATTCCATATCTTCATTCGCTCAATTCCTTATCACTTTTGATATGAATTGTAATTCTCAAATTTTAGATCCAATGGAATTCAATTCGCAATCTTTTTATTATTCCAAACATAATATATGGAAATGGAATTGGAAATCCTTACTTTTTTATCAATTCAAACAGGCTAATTGTAGCTAGGGGTAAATTTGTAAATTTATTATTCCAAACATAATATATGGAAATGGAATTGGAAATCCTTACTTTTTTATCAATCCAAACAGGCTAATTGTAGCTAGGGGTAAATTTGTAAGTTCAACTTAGAACTTAAATATCTTCTACGAGAAAAAAATGTCATTATAAAAACTTGAACTCAAGTCCTTTAAATTGATAGTCAATATCCCTAACCAACTGGACTACAACAATGTTTATGTATTTTTTGAATTAAAGAGAGAAAGTACTGAAATATCTCAAAATCATAGGACTATCCACCGCAACAATCAATCATCGAATTAATTAATAACAGTGATTATTACAAAGTGAATCATCATGATATACCTAGCTTTATGAATCAACTACGTGAGTTCCTCTAATCAGACAATTCTTCACCAAGAATCAAATAGTACATTTTGAGTTTATGTATGTCTTACAACTTTTACATTTATTAGGTTACATGACTTTGTAGTTTGTAGGAATACAAGGATTGTTTACAAAAGTGTTATACAAAATTTTATTTCAAAACATAAAATTTGACATTTGTGATCTATGGTTTTGTAACGAGACATTTTCAATGCTATAAGTGAATGACCAAAAATCATTGGCTAACAATTTTCCTAATGGTTGACGATTATAAGCATAGAATTGAAAGGCTAAATGCCATTGACAAATGAGCCAATTATCATTGGCTAAATTTAACAAACAATGGTATGTGTATATACATTGAAAATTCTATGGTATACTCGATGGATTGAGGGTTATTGCATCTCCTTAGTTAAATAACATTATCTAGACCACATATTAATCACGTAGCTAAACCTATATCATAATTCTCTAAATCCTAATATAGGGCATATGGTATATTGTATACATCTTGGCGAATCAGAATCATTGATTATGTTCTTAATATATGTGATATTAGGATTTAAGTTCTATAGATTTAGAGTATATGATTTTAATTATTTGAAACTTAATCTCCCTTTTCAAATTTCCTACAATGAGAGGGAAATTAGGAAGACATTTTTGTCTTCACAATTATCTGTATTTTTTATTTATTTACAAAAAAATAGACATATTGAGATTTGAACCATGATCACTTCAAACAAAGTGAAGGTTTAAAATTAATCAGACTATGTAGATTTGTTGTATTTTTTTAAATTAAAAATATACACGAAGCTAAAATATGAAATCACATAACTTTTCAACAGTTAGCTAGCCCAATAAATATTAAGTAAGTACTTATTTGGTGTTTTGATATTTTGATTTTGATATTTTTTATTTTAATCATAATTTAATACTTAATTTAAAATTTTATCTATCTTATAAATAGACGATAACCATAAATTTGCAAACAAAATATTGTTGGTTCAAATATTTCATATCGAATTATAGTGTTGAATATGTAGAAGCGATATAGAATTCTTAAATTACCATTAATTTCCAGAATTATAGTGAAGCAATCATTTCTTTGTGCAAACTATGGGGGACTGGTTCTCTGAACATTTTTGTCCGGTTAAATACTAATTTTGAAACTCTTCCTAGGGTTGTACGTGGGTTGCTTCGTTTGGATTTATATATTTTAATCATCTAACTCATATACCACCATTTTGAAAACACTAAATACAAACTCACCCAAATAATTTAGAATTTTAACGGTTTGTGTCCTCCATACCAAATGAACCAATTTACATGTCGCTTAACTAAGGACGATCTCATTGTCCAATTTTATCATCCTAATGTCAATCCATAAAATAATATAATACGCCGAAGGGAAAAATGGGAGCCCCATTTCAAAATTCCTGCCTTCAGAGCGTTTCACGGAGGGGTATTTTTGGAAAGAGTATCTTTTATCGTACGCACTCTTGCGGAACTGAACGGGCCAAGTGATTATTAGGTCCCGCGAATAGAAAATTGTTTCTAGCTACGCGGAAGCAACCAAGAACTATTATCTCGCACCGATCTTCCAGTTCCCCTGTCGCCCCGACCCTCCTCCTGTGCAAGGCAGCTACAAGCGATGAGGTTTTTTTAAGTCACCCGACGCACCCAAAGGACGATCTGCACTCTCCATAGGTAAGCTTTCACATTCCTATCAATCTCTAGAGGAAATCACAATGAAGGCCGAGGGAGGGAGGAAATTGTTGCTTTGATGGACAATCGTCTGGATTTGAAAATAAATTGGAATTGGAGGGGTTTGGGAGACTAGAAGGAGGCATAGATGAAGATAGGTGGGAGGAAGAAGGCTTTGGATGGTCGGGAAGGAGGAGAGAAGGCAAGCTTAGGAAGGAGAGTGGCGGTGATTGTTGATTAGATGGTAGATGCTTGATGAGTTTTACCTGCTTTCTCTCGATGGCTGATACCTTGAGGGGTTTTTATTCTGTTCGTTTCTCCCAATTCCAGGTACTAATTGAGACTCTTTCTTTAATTGAAGTGGTTTTGAGCCTCCTTGGTCGGTATAGATATTCTCGGTATAGATTTTTTGATCCGACTGAATCCTTGGTTGGTATGGATGTAATGGGCGTTTGGAGGTTCATATCCTAGGCATTTTCCGTTTAATGTGTTTCACATTTCTGTCACCAATACATAATTTCATATCATACATGAAAGTTTTCTCTGCTATAAGATTTGTTGCTTGCTGATAATTTTATCTGTATGTAGAGGAGATGAGGTCAACATGGTTCTGTGGGGAAGACTTCTACTGCAATTGTGGAGCATTGTAGAAGTTACTGGAACAACTTCTCTCATATTGGGCATCACCTCCATACAAGTGATTGAATGGATGGGTACACTTTGTTGTTTGATGACATCTATATTAACCTTTTTCTTTATAGAAACGACATATTGAGTGCTGTGTTTTTGTTTTCTTGGTTTGTAAGAGAACACTATTTCTCCTCTTCATCATCAACTGAATGGTTTTCCAATATTGATATCTCTGAAGTCATTGCCTTTATCATCGGGTATGCTTGCACTGTTTTATTTGGATGTTAGAAACTTAATAGTGGAATTTAGTTGTTAAAGTTCATTAATTTCTTTTCCAATTCAGGAATCCCGAAAGTAACCCACCTATTTTGATGGAGAAGCACACACCAGCTGAAATTCCCATAGTTACTATGCTGAGCTTCAAGGCTTGAGTTTATACTAGCAAAATGAGGTCATTTCCAGTACCATTTTCTACTTGCTGATCAAATATATATTCCACACAAATCAATATTTGAATTGCCATTGTTTTATAACACAATATTAATTCTGTTGAAGGCAAAGTGGTGGATATGAAACCTATATGGTGTTACATGAGTTGTAGGTCTGGAAGAAAGTCACGGATCATCATACCCATTGGCCACAACTTATAAGTTATATCATGAATTTCCTCTTTCAAGAGTGAAACAGAGTTTGCCCCTATGAAACTCCACCACTCTCCATCATTTATAGCTATTATGAACACTAGCCACTACGCAAATCTCTTCTCAAACTTTCTTTGAGACATCATTTTTGTTTTAATTATCAAGTCTTGAACGAAACCTAAACCAAAACTTCCCCTTCTTCCTTCAGATTCGCAACAAGTAAGGCAACAGAGGCCAGCAATTACAAGGCTTCCCTAGTGACTCCTTCATTGGAGAATTGTACCTATACGTTTGTTGCTCTTCTTTTTTTATGGTAAAGACTCGAATAGTATTCACTTGAATTTTAATAGATAGTATCAGCGATACTAATAGGAGTAGTAGGGTTGAATTTTAGCAAGTAGTAGTTGGGTTGCATTTTGGAATATTTTTATTAATATTGTATTTTACTATTTTTCATCAAAATATTCTCGGTTTTCATCGGATTGGAGCGGACTGGTTTACCCCATCCACCTATGACTAGCAACATTCAATCTATTATAGCTATGCCAGCACTCGAAATTTCCAAATTTTGAATTCTATTTTATAATAATTCTAGCTAATGAGACAACGATCATGCGAAACTCCAACTATTCTTTACTTTCAAACTTTCTATTTGAAAATAAAATTAGTGAAAGAAAAGAGAAGACTGCAATTTGCCATTTGCACATCACTACTTCGGGAACAAAACCATAGAAATTCGAAAGGAAACTGAAAATGTTTAGGATTGTTTTAATGTTATCAAATAACCAAATGGATCTTTCTGTTTAGTTTTTTACTAACAAATACTAATCAATTTTCTATAAAATACACTATAATTTAATCATTATGATATCAAATAATTACATAATATACATTTAAAATGATAAAAATTGGACTAATCGGGTTGGTCGAAGTTGAATCATTTAATAACTTTAAAATACATAATATTTTAGCCACTAAGATATAAAATAGTAGCATAATATATGTTTCAAATTAGTAAAACTAGGCTAATCGAGTTGGCTCCTCGGTTAACCCTTTAACCCTTTCCGTGAGTTGATGAATGGATTGTTCCAGTCAAATTAATAACTTTGACGACAAGATGAAAGTTTTATAAAGAAAATTAATCAGCCAACGAGCCTAGTTAAAGCTAGCAACGATTATGAGATGCTCATTTCCCAAAGACCGGTGAAATAAGCGATTTTTTATTTGAGTTTTATAAACTTACTCCACCTCATCATATTACCAGAAATAATACTGTTTCACAAAGTAACAGGTACTCGAACTTGGTTTATAAGGTTAATTTTTGATTCGTGACATCATCCATGTCACTTTCTTCCTAAATTCACTATCTTTATCACACATTCCAAAAAAAAAACTATACAATAATAAATTATACACCCCATCATTCTAAATTTTATACCTCACCTCCTCCGGCCAACTGGCCGGACTCTATGGCAAGAATAGTAATGTTGTTGGGAAGAACCTACCATTGCTATTCACATGTTAACGTTTGAGACTTGAAATTGAAAGGTTGACTATATTGGCCGAAGTTTGCTGAATTGGCTAACTGGGGCCTACATGGCTAGATGGCAAGGATCGGTTTGGAAAAGTGACGAATTCCATGGACTTCTTTCGGGGAAACCAAAATTCAAGTACTCATTTGAAACGGTACCAAGTTCAAGGACCAACAGTAGTATTTTCTTTTGAAGAAAACAGAACAGTCAACAGAGGCATCAAAATCTCCAAAAGGGCAATTGGGAGTCATTTCATTATCCTTCCTGGCTTCCAACTCGGCAGCTTACCAGCCAACCTCAACATCCAGCCGAGATGAAATTGAGTGACTGAAAGAACGAGAATTGGATTCCACAGAATTCAAATAAACAGAATTAAATACGCTGGGAGGAGGAGAGGGAGCAACCACCAGCTCCGCCGCCACCTCGGCCGCAACTGCCAGCCATCCAACCCATTGCACGAAGACCCTTTTTGTCTTCCTCCGCAAAGCCCCAGCTGCCTCTTTCTAAAAGAAAGGAAACAACCCCTCTCTCCTTTTCCGCTCCCACTCTTCATTTTCCCATTTCACAGTCTATCAAGACGGGTTCTTTAAGAGCATATAAGTTCCACCATATTTGTCTTTGGCGGCAGTTGCTTGTTATGCCGTTAACTCAACCAATTCCATTGTCCTCAATACTCCATTGTTGCTCTGTTTGAAGATTCAGGAGGGTTTGGGTTTAAGGCGGGTAGGCGGGGCGAGGTCAGGCTCGCCAATGGAGATTGCATTCGAGTCCTCAATTCTGGGCCGACCCGTGTCCGTTTAAGGGACCAAGGTTTCATCTTTGCTGCATTACAATCGGATTTCAGCGCTACCATGCAAGGTCTCTCGCAAGAATTATCACTACCCGGCTCCGCTTTCCTCAAATTTTGTCAATCCGTGCAGTTGCGTAACTGCTCTGAGTAATTTTAATGTTCAGAGAACCCCGTGTTTGATAGCGTGATAGCTAGTTCGAGCTTGATAGGGAAAGATAGGGGAGACTGGGTCGCCGAAGGTAATGTTGCCCCGGATGTGAACTTGGAAGCGATCATGCTGCTGTTGAAAAGAGGTGTCATTTTGGGAGCAATGGTCTGTGGGATAATGATGTTTGGATACAAACGTGTGTTTGCCGCGGAAGGAGTGGCGAATCCGGGCTATGGAGTTAGTGGGCAAAGCATTCTGTTGCTGAGGAACTCTTGGCCTAGGCTGCAGATGCTCCTTACTGTTTTCAAAGAGCAGGGTTTGATATTGGCTGCACTTTTGGGTTTATCTGCATTTTTCTCTATGGCTGAGACTTCCATAACCACGCTGTGGCCATGGAAGGTACGTTTTATATAGCTCAAGAATTGGGATGATCTACTTTTGTAGAAATGCATTGGTTTCGTACATTAAATGGTCGAATTTGACTAGTGAATATCAATTTGTCTATTAAGCTTGTGAGACTTGATTACTCCAGCTCAATATTTTCTTTTACCATTATGGTTCCTTAAGTTGGAAATCTCTGTGAACTTGTCAGGTACGTGAACTGGCAGAAAAAGAGACCGATGATGGTGGTGTCTTCAAACTGCTTCGCAAAGATGTCACCCGTTTCCTGACCACTATTCTCATAGGCACAACGTAGTACTCTTTCCTTATTATTGTTTCTATTTGTATTCAAAATTCTTTTTCTATCCGTTGATTCTATTTGTGCTCTTAGTGTTGTCAATATTGCGGCCACTGCACTGGTCACTGAGGCAGCCACAGCAATATTTGGTGAAGCTGGTGTCAGTGCAGCCACGGGAGTGATGACTGTATGTAAAGCTCTCTCCCCCTTCCTCTCTGCATTCTGTTCCTACTAACTAATCTCTTATGAACTATCTAATTTGGCTTAAATGATAGGTTGCTATATTGCTGCTCACTGAGATTACTCCTAAGAGTATAGCCGTTCATAATGCCACAGAGGTTGCTAGGTTTGTGGTAAGTGCATAGATGATTGCAGAAACTTGTTCCTGCCCTCCTATTGCTAGCTCAAGTGTCTAAGTTAGTGTTGTCTATAATGCATGTAGGTCAGGCCAGTGGCTTGGCTTTCACTGATTCTCTATCCTCTAGGGAGAGTTGTCACTTACTTGTCAATGGGAATGCTGAAAATGCTTGGATTGAAAGGAATAAGGTGAGTTCTGTCCTGCTTCTTGACATCCTCTTGTAACTTTTGTGGCTTTCCTTTTTGTAATTTCTTATGCATTGCAATGTGTTTTGGATATGTTTGTTTTTCATATTATTATTTTACGATGACTGGCACAACCTCTTATCCACACTGGAAGAGAGGCAGTGAAGTTTGGATGTCTGTAATAAGCCCATTAATTCTAGGCGAAACATGAGCATGGCCCGAGTGGGCATATTTATGGATCCATACAATGCGCTTTATTTTCAAGTTTCTTGATCTGTCTTTTGGATGGACTGGTCACTGTCTCAAGGGTCAAGGCGACTCTGTTGCGAGATTTATTTGCTGTTTCGAAAGCTACTTTCTTGTTCTTCTTGGTCAGTTTGTCTTCAATGGTATTTCAATCCTAGAGGAATGATAATTGGACATTCTCATGAAGGAGCTATTTCTGTACTGACGAAGATCATGTCATGGGCCTGTCAGAATATTTTTTAGAGCTAGTTGGAAACAGCTATGTCCCAACATTTGTTTTTATCCACTGTGAAGTAACTGCCCTTGTGTGAGTCGAATTTCTTAAGTTCTGCACTCCATTATTTTTGGTAGGATAGTAAACTGATGAATAGCACTCATGTTCATGCACTCTTATCCTCTCCTTTTTCAGTTTTATTTTCAGTTTTCCTACATACCTATTCCTAAAAATCAATTTGTGATAACGTTCAGCGAACCGTACGTGACTGAGGATGAGCTAAAGCTGATGTTGCGAGGTGCAGAGCTAAGTGGGGCAATAGAGGAGGAAGAGCAGCCCTTGATACTTTTTCTGTGTGCCAGCATGGAGCATGTACCTATGAGTGAGCACCATATTGATGATATGTGTATGTTAATATTCCTGGTGCAATGTGCATTTGTCCACCCTGTCTGAAAACAACGTTAACCTAATGATATTGGTCCTATCTGCGAAAACCTTTGAGAAATGGGTAAAGGTGCTTTTTTTCTCAAATGAAGATAATAAACTTTTTGCAGGATATGATTGAGAATGTGCTGGAGATTAAGGATACACATGTTAGAGAAGTGATGACACCTCTTGTTGATGTTGTTGCAATTGATGCAAGTGCAACACTCATTGATTTTCATGAATTGTGGGTGACACATCAATATTCTAGGTAAGCAAATGTGTGTGGCGGTCTGTGCTTCTGAGTGAAGTTTTACTTACTAAGCTCAGGTTTCTCTCGACATTTTTAGGGTACCTGTTTTTGAACAGCGTGTGGACAATATTGTGGGTATTGCCTATGTAATGGATCTGCTGGATTATGTACAGAAGGTTGGGCAGTATCTGCTTCCTCTCGCTCCCTCTTCAAAGTTGATGTAATCTGTTAATTGATCATGGAAAAATCTCATAGTGTGCAGAATGATCATCTGTTTAATTTTGAAGGGTGAACTACTAGAAAGCACCATCGTGTGGGACATGGCTCACAAACCTGCATATTTTGTACTGGGTAAACTTGGTGTTTCATCCATTCAAGTTGCACGAACTTTGTTAATAGATATTGCACTTTCTATTCTTTATGTGTTATTATTTCCTTTGTGTGGAGCAAGCATAGGTAGCTACCATTTAAGTCTGCCCGCTCTGCTTTCTTTGAGTTTTCGTGACCAAAATTTATAGATGAAAATAATAATCTCTTTAGATCTTTTTGATTCATTATGACTTCTTAATATATGCGTTAGATCCATTTCAGTTTTGATATTTTTGGTTGATGCATTTTTTCTTATGTTTGAACTTATGATCCCTTATCACTTCTATTCATAGAAATGAGTTCATTTCTTTGATTAATGTTAAGGTTGCTGCCACTATGAGGACTGCTAGACTTTGCTTTGAGTTTTACCTTTGCATCTAGCTAGAGGAATGTTTCTAGCTTGCATGCAATAGTGTTTGACTCATGTATTGTGGTTTTTTTTTTTAAATGAAAGTCTAAATCTTAATCGTAGAAAATATAAATTATGATCCCGTTTAGCGCTTGTCTTTTATCTTTGGTTCCAATGGAAAGTCAAGAATTTATTTGCTTCTAGAATGAGTGCATTAGTCAGATATAACCATAAGCCCCAATGGCATTGAGTAGTTCAGCTTTGCTTATTCAATTTTATTTTCTAATGTATATGAGGTTAGTTTCTTCCAATTCTTTCATTTGTCAATTTTTTCTGAACCAGACCATTCTGAACTCCCTGATGGACCTAAGTTGTTTTGTTATCATCAACTGTCTGGCGGAAACTTCAGATATTCTAGATTCGCGAGAATGCTGAGCTAGAGAATTTGAGCATAGGTGACAGTATCAATCAAGGTCTACTACATCAATACAAAGGACATTACCAGTTTCACGGGTTTTTGTTGCTTGGTCCATTTTTATTTTGTTTGTTGTTGTCAAAATATACTATCCACCACATTACCTACTGAAACTAGCTGTCCAATTGAAAAGCTTCATTATTGAAATTCAATCTGTTGACCATATTATGTTTCAGTAGTGACGGATGGCTTAGTTTCAGTGCTTTACTTGTTTGTGTTATTGTGGGAAGTAATGTGGGAGAATGCAATCCTTGCATTCATTTCTTATATAAAATGTTGGTTGCTGCTGTTACTTTGTTTGTGTTCATCATAATTTTTTGCTGACGAAGTGCGTAATTTCTTTTGCAGATTCAATGTCTGTCTGGAATCTTCTCAGAGAATTCCGGATCAGGAAGGTTCACATGGTTGTTGTCCTTAATGAATATGGCGGTACTGTTGGAGTATGTACTAAATTGACCTCATTGCATATGCAGGAATACAATTCTCCATTTCATTATGGATGGCAAGTAAAACTACTTGACTGTCGATTTACGCTGCGTGATTGGAGCTAGGTCATTAATAGTGGTTAGACATTGATTAAAGAGAATCGGTTCCAACTTGTTATGGGGATATAGCAATCTTTAATTGACGAAACACCCGGTAGTGACTGGAAGTGTGTGTACTTGGTGGAGGTTGTTACAGAGAAAATTGACCAAGACTTAACTATTAGATCCAAGAGTTGTTTTTCAGTAAGACAATAATTGACTGAGGGTTGGAAAGGAAAATATTGAGCAATGCTTGACCTCTTTGTGAAGAAACTAATTATTTTTTATTCAGTTGTTCCTTAATAGATGCCATAACATGATATCAGTTGTTTCAGGCGGCTAACTCTGCTCGATAGCATGTCTTAGTAGTGATTAATGGTGTCTTGATGCCACTAAATGATGTCTAGTTTAATATGTTGATAAGTCCTTGGATGAAAATGGAGATCTGTATGTTAATATCTGAAGGGATGCAGATATCTCATGGATCATGCATTCTCTAAAAAATCCTGGAAAAGTTCAAATGCAATTTTCACATTTCAAGTAGAGCAATCACCTGAACAATATATACACTTGTTTATTTATTGCCTTCTTTTATATGACTTCATCTTTTTTCTTGGTTATTATGGCAATAATATAGTTGGTAACCCTCGAAGATGTTGTTGAAGAGATTGTCGGTGAAATATTTGACGAAAATGATTCAAAGGTAAATGTGTAACATTCGTGTGCATTCTGATAGCCCTATATCTACTCGTTCGTGCACGATCTTGTCCAATTGTTGGTACATAAGCAGTCGTGGAACAATTGGGAACCTTTTGTTTTGAATCATAACTTGAGTTGATTACTGACAATGTCCTATCACAGGAGGAGATACAGAAGAAAACTGGATACATAGTAATGCGAGCAGAGGGAGTGTACGATGTTGATGCCAATACATCCATTGATCAACTCTCTGAAGATCTAAACATTAAAATGCTAGATGTATGTCATGAATGGTTTGATTTTAGTTGAAGGAAACAGAGTAAGTATGCCGATGGCACCTTAGAGCTGTCCATGATATTATGAAGCTTTCCATGGTCAGCCAGGCAACTTATACATTTGGTTTGCCTCAACTGTTGCTAGGTCATTTTCCCCATACCATTTATTAGGCATATTACATGCATATACAAACGCTTACATTATCTCATTCAAAGGCGTTTACAAGGTTTGTGAGCAGAACATTGCATTACCTTTATAATTTATGCAGGAAAACAGATGATATTGTTAGTAACATGAGCAGTATTTTGACACAATATGCTCTTTTACTTGGTTCTTGAACATAAAATCAACGTTGCTTATAGATAGATGCGTTGACTTATGACCTCCCGACAGCTTTCAGTATTTGTGTTGCTGAGCAATCCATATTTCTAGTTGTGGTAATCCAATTATTATGCTTTCTAGTTGTGAAAAAGTTAATCATGTTAAAGGCAAAAAAGATACTATTTGAAAGTGTGTTAATTACATTACAACCTTGAAGCTTAATGTCATCTAGTCTGTTCCCATGCTTTTTTATTCATCTCATTATTGTCTTCCATTGACATCTTCCTCCAAGGAAATTAAACCACGTAGCATTTTTTGGGGAAAAGAAAAAACAAAATGAAACAACCAAATAACCTTTAAATTGCCACCTTTTTGGCTTTAATTTTTACATGGCTTTAGAAATGATTGCAGATTCCTGAAGAACATCTTATAAGTTCCACATTTGTATTCCTACTCCAATACCCTTTTTTCCTGTGGTATAGGGTCTTCAGTATGAGACAGACTCAGGTTTTATATGCGAAGCATTTGGGTACATTCCAAGGACTGGCGAAAGCATCAAAGTGGTTCTTGACAATTCGAATGAAGAAGATGAGGATAACGAGGACAAGCCTGAAAGAGAACTGAATGAAAAGCATCTAATATACAAGCTTGAGGTATGACTAAGGAAGCTTTGCTTTTTGAACCTCGGTCTTGAATGAAAGCCTTGCTTAGAATGTGGCATGGAACAAACTAAAGATTATAATTTTTATGGTAAAATAATATTCTGAAACATATCATTTGCATCTTAGTTTTGGTAGACGGTATAGAAGGCAATATTTTGGTTAGTCTTTCGTCAATTAAGTTTAAGTTTTTGACGCCATGTTAACTGTGGTTTGGGCATGGTTGTCAATCAAACACACTTAAGATAAAAAAAAGTGCTAAAATTCTTTACCATTTGCTTACAAATCGTGAGATCAACAATCTTAGGAAATGCTCATAGGATCCCATCACATAACATATAGAGAACCATTTATCATAAATGGTTATTTTTACAACCTACGTAGCTACCATAGGATTCAATAGTGAACGCATCCATTTTAATCCGAAGCCTCGTTTCTCTGGAACAACTGGACAGTTTGGATCTATTGTTTCATCTATGTTTTTATGGCATGCGAAACTGATCTTGTTTCTTCAAGAAAAGGACTCGTCATTTGCAAAGTGGTGTCAGATATTATATGTTGAATTTCCTGCATGAAAGCATTTATAAAAAAGGCCAAGGAAGGCTACATTTCATGGTGAGCTCAGTTACAGACCAATGCAATTATACGTTGTTGTATCTGTTCCTTTCATTTAGATATTAGCTGGAAACGCGCGGAAGGTCGGTGCAGTTCGTTTTGAGAGGATACACAATAGCGAGGAGGCGGTGGAGGCCAAAGAAGTAGCTCGCATGATTCCCAAGTTCAGGAAGAGGAAATGGAGTAGCAGCGGTGAAGAGTCTGATTATGAGGAGGATTCGTTACAAGATAGACCTGTGCATGCTCTTTCAGATTCCAATGTAATTGCTGAGCATGAAGAAGAAGAAGAAGCAGAAGAAGAGGATGATGATGATGAGAATCCCCGTAGACATTAGAAATTAGATTACTATCCACTCTTTTTCCCCCCCTCCTTGTTTCTCGTATTTCTTGAGGTTGAGGTTTCTTTTTTGTGCGTTGATTTTTACAATTCCCAGTGAAAGAAGTCATTAAAGAAAAAAACACTTTAGAAACACCAGCAGCAAGAAAGAAAGACAAATGCTGAGGAACTCTATTGTAAAAAAAGAACAAAAAAGTAGTTTCAGAGATGAAGAGAGGTATCAACATCTGAATCATCAAAGTAGCTGTAATGAGTTTGCATCATTAGGAGATCCGAGGAGCGTAGACTCGCCAAATCTGGGATCTCTCTGACTTGAAGATCAAGGTCACATTGTCCGTATATTGGTTTCTTGGATGGGGTCAATGGCTGCTGCTTAGAGGGAAAGAGAAGCTCAAGGTGAGAAAAGTCGTTTGGTGGATCATAAACAAGCATGGTGGTGGCGACTGGTTTCACTTGCTCCGCTTCAGCGAGGAACTGGAAGAACTCGCGCTGATGCCTCGTCTCCCTGGCCCTCTCTAGCTGCCGAAACCTTTCCTACAGCAAGGCAATGGAAGAAGAGCGCATGATGGTTGCGGTGGGTTCAAAGCTGTGTTGCCTATCCATGAAAGAAGAACTGATATCAGTGATATAGGTCTGGTGCAAGATTGATTGAAGACAAAAGGAAGAAGGTAAGGTAAGGAATTTCTGTTGTTATGTTTGCATTGCTTGGCTTGTGAAGCAGCCATGTTGGTCACTATATATAGGCCATGACAGGATGATCAGTGTTGGTGTTAGATTTTGAATGACGTATGAGAGAGAGGGTAGCAAAGCAGATTCGGCAGCCAAGTCACTAAGTCCAATGAGGAAAAGCCATGGATGGATGGATTTGGCGTACCTCAAAGAAAGAGGGAAGCCAGCAAAGTTTGGTGGATGCGGGGAAGTGGCAGATGGAGTTCCTTCTTCCTTCCTTTCCTTGCTTGAATTACAAGGTAAAAGTAAAACAAAGAAGCAGTCCAAGGAATGGAATGTAGCAGTTGGAAGGGCATTAGGAGTGGGAATCGAAAGGGTTTGTTGGTCGAGTTCTACTGTCGGCTTGTCTCCATAAGCTAGGTTAGGTGCCTCTCCTCGTTTCTTGGGTTTTCTTTCCTCCACTCTTGTTCATTTTTACAGCAAGGAAGTGATAGAGCCCGGGATTAGAGCTCTATAGAGGGATTGGGGAATTGGGATCAATTAGGGATTGATCCGGGGATTGGGGAATTGGAAGAAGGGTGACTTTAGGGGGATTGATGCAAGAAGAAGGAAGGGGAAAGGAGGCTGCCGATCGGCAGCAGAGAGGAAGGGGAGGGAGGCTCGGCGACCAGGGAGAGAGAGAACAAGTAGTTTTAGGTTTAATCTTTTCTTCCATTTCCTTCGTAAACAATAGTTTAAATACCCAAACACAATTACCTGCTAACTACCCCAGCTTATTAAACCCCAAATTATTCCCCAATAACCAAAATAAACCCGCACAAAATAATTCAAACCGAACATAAAACCCAAATAATTAAAACGTCTATCATTCCCGCTTCCTTCAAAACAACCTTGTCCTCAAGGTTGATAATCTTCCACCGCGTCTCCTCCTTCTCTCGCCTCATCTTCCGCCTCATCCTCCCACCTTCCGACCAGCATCATCAAATCGGGACGTGCGCACTTGTGACCGATCGTGAACCTCTCGTCGCAATTAAAGCACTTCCCTTCCCGCCTCTTTTGCTCAATCTCTGCAGGGGACAACCGCACAAACCCCTTCGGTGGTGGCCGCATCCCACCCCTTGCCGCGGCAACTGGCGCTGGCACCGCCGACGATCCCCAGCTCCGGCAGTGGCTCCCGCAACGCCTCCTCCTCCTCCGCTGCCAGCCTCGCTACTACTCCCGGCGCCACTGGTCCGCGGATAGCGCCCTATGGTGCTCCTCCAACTCGCAAGCTCCTCTTCCTTATACCCTGCAAGACGAAAAGCAGATTTCAAGGAGTCCGGCTCAAAGACCCGAACGGCAGCAGCAATCTCCGGCTTTAGGCCTGCCATACCCAGCCCCACCAATGTATCCTCTGGTACCCCCACGACATTGATTGCCCAGTTTGAAGACCTCCGCACGGTAATCTGCAACCGAGCCGGTCTGTTTCAGTTTAGCCAACTGCTCCGGAGCCCATCCCTCTGATTTACCAAACTGGTAACGGAGCTCCTCCTGAAACATTGGCCATGTAATCAAGGTTTTCGCCGCCCCGTAGGATCTCTCCATCCACTACCACCCTGTAGTGCTTCCCCTTCTAAGTAGAAGGACGCCAGATGCGCCTTCCTCTCTTCCGGTATGGGGTGATTTCTAAACCACCTCTCCGCCGCATACAACCACAACCCTGCATCCTCCTGACAGTTGAATTTTGGAAATTCAATGGTCGGGGGCTTGGCTCGAAAGACCATCCCATTAGCTCCATCATAGGCAGGGTGATACGAACCATACCTGTCATAACCCGAGTCACCTCCTGCCTGGTTCTGGTAGAATGGTGATCCTCTTCCCCGCCCAAAGTTGCCCGCGCCACCACGACCGGGTGGACCCGTCGCATAACCTGCCCCATACGACCCTTGCCACATGTTCGGATCCATGCTGGGCGATCTCACAAGCCGCGGCTCAAACCGGTTTGGCCCACTACCGGTTCGACCAACTCCCTCTCGACCCGGTTCGGTTTCCTACAGCGCCATCCGACCCGGCCCGGTTCGCCCTGGTTCACCACGGCCCGACCCGGTTCGATCAGCCCGCGATCGACCCGTCCAGCCGACCCTCCGCCTCGCCCCGGTCCGGCCCAACCAGGCCCCCTCCTACCGTGGCCCAACTCGCGCGGCTCGACCCACTGTCGGGTCCGAGCCCAAGTAATTATCGGTGCTAGCCGGGTCGGCCCACGGTGCATTCTAGCCCACCAGGCTGAGCTCCTCCTCGAACTGCTCCGGGTCCATGTTCAGCCACCCGAGCCCTCTGGGCTCGTAATATTGGCCCGCCGCATCAAACCGGCCCATCGGCCCAGATGGCCCACGCACAGTCTGTTGGGCCCCGTAGTCATAACCGAGCATTTTGGCCTTGCCCTTGCGAGCCGCCAACTCCTGGGCCGTCGACGTAGGCAGAAGCCCAGGCCCACCGCCGCGCCCTAGTTGACCGTGGCCCGCACGCTGGGAAGCCCCGGCCTGGTCGCCCTCGCCTGCAGTGACTGCCACTGCACCCGCCTCCATCACCACGATCGCCGCCGAAGGTGAGTCCCCCGCCGCCGTCCCACCTGCCGGCGACCCGCCCGCCGCGACCGGGCCTCTCCCGGGCCAACTCCCGGGCCTCTCCCCTCTGCGCCGCTGCCCGCCAGCGACTCTCCCGCCGCGCTCAGCCCACCCCCCTGCGCCGCCGCCGTTACTCTTCTGTGGGGGTGGTTGCGCGCCGCGCAGCATCTCCAAGGCCGCTTGGACCTCATCGAACCGCCGCTAGACCCACCGGGATTCCTCCTCCTGCTCGCGCCTCTCCGCTAGCCTCTCCACGCGCTCCGTCTCGAACGCAGCCACCAGGCGGTCTAGGGTGACCCGGATTGCCTCCTTCTCAGTCTCATCTTCCATCTCCCCGTCCCGCGGACTGGGAACCCCATGCGCGCCCTCACCGTAGGACGGCAGCCCCGTCGTGGCCGCGGTCAGCGCCTGCTTCTGCGCCGCCTTGGCTGCCTTCTCAGCTGCCGTCATGGACTTCGTTGACACCATCTCGATCGTTATCTACGTTTGCTCACGAACCCAAGAACGGGGCTCTGATACCAAATGATTGAGCTCGGGAATAGAGCTCTATCGAGGGATTAGGGAATTGGGATCAATTAGGGATTGATCCGGGGATTTGGGAATTGGAGGAAAGGTGAATTTAGGGGGATTGATTGATGCAAGAAGAAGGAAGGGGAAAGGAGGCTGCCGATCGGCAGCAGAGAGGAAGGGGAGGGAGGCTCGGCGGCCAGGGAGAGGAGAGGGAGATAGAGAACAAGTAGTTTTAGGTTTAATCTTTGCTTCCCTTTCCTACATAAAACAATAGTTTAAATACCCAAACACAATTGCCTACTAACTACCCCAACTTATTAATCCCCAAATTATTCCCCAATAACCAAAATAAACCCGAACAAAATAATTCAAACCGAACATAAAACCCAAATAATTAAAATGTCTATCCGGAAGGAACAAATAACTGGTTACTGTTTTCACTTTAGGGGTGGTTTGGAACGTTTGATTCTGGAAATGATGTATTACGAGAATGTGTGTATTAAAGATTATGTGTGATAAGGATTCCAATTATACGAATGAATGGATTCACTTTCTTGGCGGGATTGAGCCAATTTTTCTCTTTTCTTGGCGAGAAAAGTTCCAGGATTTCTTCGACTATGAGTCGAGTTTTTGATTTCCAGGCCTGACTGTTTTCCAGGGTGTAACTATCTCCTTTTATTGATCAATATAAGAGTATCTTTTGACAAAAAAAAAGTACCAGGGTTTCTTCTACTAATTTTCTGCTTCTTGTTATTGAATCCAATCTCAACTTAAATACACAAAGGAAATGGAAAAGACCTATCACTAACTCAACGTACATGTGTTGTTATTTCTCCACTTAAGGTGGAGAGGTTTATTGACACTCTAACTACACTCTCTAACAACCCATGACTCTCTAACAAACTCAACACTACTAAATAATTCAAATAATGGAAACTCTAATAAATATACGCGTCAATGTGTATATTAAGAATGTGTGGTTTTGAAAATTCATTGTTTGGAACCCATACAAGAATGCATGGATTGTAGTTTAAATAAACTATGGATACTAAAATCTCACAAAAAAGGTAAGATTATGAATACATCATTTTCTATGTATTAGGAATACAACATGGATTATGAATACATGCATTCTATTATTACATCAAGTAAAAAAACGTTGTATTCTCAGGATACATGTATACCGAGAATACAACATCTGAAATCGGAGGTTCCAAATGAGCCCTTATCTCTAAAAACTTCTTCACTTTGCCAATCTTGTTAGACGGAGGCTCTGGCTACTAAGAGGGACTTGTAAAACCTCGTTGGATTGCAGTCTCGCTTATTTCTCTCATTTTCTAAGCGACGAATATCTTCTCTCTAAAAAATGTGGCAGAGGTTCAAGTCATTTAAAAGAGTAAGTTTCTTTGTTGGAAGACCTGTAATGCTAGGTGTCTTCGTGATCCTCACAAATCTTCTGGGCACACAAGAGATCCTCATTGTGGAAGGTAAAATGTTCCCTGTGGTAGTCTATATTCTATGGTTCGAGAATCCTATCGTTGCTTGTTGGATTGGTTGGATTATGCAATATCGATGAATACTATCGACGACATCAACAATCCTTGCCTCTAGCATTAGAGGGCTTGGATTAACTAAAAAAGTACTCTTCTC